CGCCCGACTGGGACTAGAACCCAGTGTGCCGGCGCCGCTAGGTGGGGGATTAACCTATTGAGACGCGGCGCCGGCCAAGTCCCAGGTGTTTCACTTCCAATCTAGCTCCCTGTTAATGTGCCCTGGGAAAGCAGCAGAAGATAGCTCAAGTCCTTGGCCCCTGCCACCCACGTGGCTGGGAAGCTCCTGACTCCTATCTTCAGACTGGCCCAACTCTGGCCATTGTAGCCATCTGAGCAAATTTAAGATCGCTCCGTAACTCTCTATCTCTAACTCTGGCTTTCAAATAAATAAATATATCTTAAAAAAATGTATCTTGTACTTCAGTGTTTCATTTAGTTCAAGTACATTGTGTTTTTAACTATTATAAAAAGTACAGGGGCTGGTGCTGTGGCGCAGTGGATTAACGCCCTGGCCTGAAGCATCAGCATCCCATATGGGCACCGGTTTGAGACCCGGCTGCTCCACTTCCGATCCAGCTCTCTGCTATGGCCTGGGAAAGCAGTAGAAGATAGCCCAAGTCCTTGGGCCCCTGCACCCACGTGGGAGACCCAGAAGAAGCTCCATGCTCCTGGCTTCAGATCCGTGCAGCTCCAGCCGTTGCGGCCAATTGGGGGGTGAACCAGTGGATGGAAGATCTCTCTCTGTGTCTCCTCTCTCTGTGTAACTCTGACTTTCAAATAAATAAATAAATAAATCTTTTTTAAAAAAAGATAGCACAGTTGTAAATATCTAATACACATCATTTTCTTCTTATACATTTTCCACTACACCTCTCTTATAGTAGTATGACTAAGACTGGTTATAATTTGTATTACTATCTGAAAGACTTTGTCAATTTGAAAAGATATGAAAATGTATATTAATTTTGCATGAATATATGAATAGCATTTACTATGGGTACTACTGAATATTACGTGCTTATCTGGCAGTTATACACTTGAAATTATTAGATAATTTTTTTTATTTAGAAAATAATTTGCAGGACTAAAAGGAGCATATGTAGAAACCTATCCATTTGTTCTGATAGTGCTTGCATTAATATTGTATCTTTTGTTATATGCAATAAAGTTCTTTTTAGTTTGTACCTTTGTTTTGCAGTGCTGCATGGTGCTGAACCATTGCCTTATTATACTGCTGCCCACGCAATGAGTTGGTGTTTACAGTGTTCCCAAGGAGTGGCTTACCTTCACAGCATGCAACCCAAAGCTCTAATTCACAGGGACCTGAAACCACCAAAGTAAGTTGTAGTAATGTGGCAACCCCCTTCTCTTCCTTCTTTTCCTTATCTCCCCCCACTCCCTGCCACCACCCTGATTGCCACTCACACCCACTCCCTACTGTAAGCTAATTGTTGCATTGCACTTGACTTTCTCTTTACTTTTCTCTTTTGGCTTACTCAGTAATGTTTATTTTTGACTCATTTTCATCATTTAGTTGTTTATCAAAGCTTACATTTTAGAATGTCATCTTTAGTAAGAATTTTTATTTTTTAGAGTAGCATGCTTCTAGAAGCTGTTGGTCTATAACTCTTATTTTGTGCCTGTAGTATATAGTATTGTCCTAGTGATTAGTTCCTTGAGAGTGAAGACAGGCCTGATTTGTTCCCTGCTGTATCCCTGGCACAGCATCCACATATGGTAGACATTCTACCAAGATGTATGGAGTGGTTATTACTTGCTCTTTCATAGGAAAGAAAAATGTCATGTCATTTCTGGCATCTGAGAAGAAATTAAAAATATTCTGAGTTTCTCCATATTGAGAGTCCTGAAACCTGAAATAATTTTATAAACAAACAAACAAAAACCTCTAAAACCATAGTGGTTTTGTTTTTCTGCATAGATATTGAGTTAAAACATGTATGTGAAATTTATTATCCCCTTTTTTTCAATTTTTCTTTCTACATCCACCTGTAAAAAACCCAAAAACATCCCCATCTATCTTCTCACCTCCATCTCAGCCCATCAGTTTCCAAGTAAGAGGTTTTCCCTACGATATAATCACAACTATTGTCTTAAATTATTTTATTCTCTTGGTACAGGTCCAAATCATTAAAGTGTCCCTGCTGGGGACACTGGTAGAATCTACATAGGTTCTACATTCTTACTAGTGTGCCTTCTTTATACTACCAGGCTAAAGCTGATTTCTATTTCCACAGATTTCTGGTAAAATCACATTTGAGCTCTAGAGTCATGACATTTTTATATATGTATGTATGTATGTATTTTGGGGCTTTGTTAAGCTACCTGCCCTGGCTAGTGAGAAAGAGACACTTAGCTTTTTTCCTTGCCAGTGGATATTCAGTCCTCCTCTCCCTCTGAATTATGGAGCTGAATTATTAAAGCAAACTTACGAAAATCAGCTCCTGTCCAGCAGCAACAAATTGACTAATGATACAAAGAGTACAAGTTAGCATCAGACACAATTAAAGCATTTTTTTCCTGGAGGAGCCTGGCGCCATCAAATGCAACATTTGAAGGTGTCCCTTTCTTCTACTGTAAAATGTGTTTTACTTTGCAATGAGTAGCTAGTTACTGAATAGAGAAATAATGTTTAAAAGGGAAGTAAGAAAGTCATTTCTGTTTTCCAATACGATTTATATTATTACATAGCTTAAACAACTACCTCCAGTCTCCATCCAACCATACCCCATAAATTTTAGGTTTATTTAGTTAATCTACATAGACCAGATGTAGCCTACTAAAATAATTTGTAGATAGGAATTCTCCTTTTGCTAGTAAATACTATTAACATATTTTTAAGAGAGCTGGTCTAGGTCATTCATTCCTCCTGGGCATTTCCTTGGTTAAATTCTTCCTGTAGTATTGCAAATAATCTTTGGTGCACCCAGATAACAAGTTGTTCTTTATAATTGGCCGGCGCCGCAGCTCAATAGGTTAATCCTCCACCTGCAGCACACACCCCGGGTTCTAGTCCCGGTCGGGGCACCAGATTCTGTCCCGGTCGCCCCTCTTCCAGTTCAGCTCTCTGCTGTGGCCCGGGAGTGCAGTGGAGGATGACCCAAGTGATTGGGCCCTGCACCTGCATGGGAGACCAGGAGAAGCACCTGGCTCCTGGCTTCGGATCAGTGCTGTGCACTGGCCACAGCGCACTGGCCACAGCAGCCACTGAGGGGTGAACCAACAGCAAAGGAAGCCCTTTCTCTCTGTCTTTCTCTCTCTCACTATCCACTCTGCCTGTCAAAAAAAATTTTTTTAAAAGAAAAAAAAAAAAGAATTAGAATTGACTTTTCAGAAGGTGCTAAGGAAGAGTATTTGAAATGGCTATGCTTTCATGGACAATTGAATAAATACCCTTATCTGCTATATCTTACTGTCATTAGAAAGCGTAAAGATTCAGTGGTTAGGAAGGGTTCCTCAGGATAACATATAAAAAAGGCACCAAATGATTTGATGAGTTGTTTTATATATATTCAGCTTGTGTTCCCTATTTTATTTATCTTTTGCAAATTTATTTACTTGTACATAAGACAGTAAAATGTTTATCTGAACTGTGTGAAAGTAAACCTACAAAGGTAATTTATGTTCAGATTTCAATGAGCCGTATGTTCACAGATGGTGAATTATTAAAGTCTTAAGAGTGAGAGAATACTAACAGTGTAGAAGTCATTCAGAAAAGTTATTGTGATATCTCAATTGTACCAGGTTGAAACAAAGAAACCAGTTACAGAGTGCTTATACTTACCTTGGGTGAAGAATAGAATAATAAGAGTTTGAACAAAAATAGTGATAAACAGGAAAATTGTTTTTGTTGAAGTACATGTAGAGGTAAATTGCATTTAGCAACTCACTTGATGATCATGATACTATTGTTGCAAGTATATAAATGTGAATAATAGTTTATTTTATTTAACTTATTGTCACTAAAAGGAATTGATTTTTTTTTTTTTTTTGACAGGCAGAGTTAGACAATGAGAGAAAGAGAGAAAGGTCTTCCTTCTGCTGGTTCACCCCCACATGGCTGCTACGGCTGGTGCTATGCCTATCCAAAGCCAGGAGCCAGGTGCTTTCTCCTGGTCTCCCATGTGGGTGAAGGGCCCAAGCACTTGGGCCATCCTCCACTGCCCTCTCAGGCCACAGCAGAGAGCTGGACTGGAAGAGGAGCGACCGGGACAGAATCTGGTGCCCCGACTGGGACTAGAACCCAGGGTGCTGGCACCACAGGCGAAGGATTAGCCTAGTGAGCCACGGTGCCAACCAGGAACTGATTTTCTAAATAATCACTCCAGCTAGAATTTGACAAAATCATATGCAAAAAGTTTATGAAATTTATAATTAATTGTAATTACAATTGGGAGTCAGAGCTGGAAATTTGAACCCAGGCACTCCAATGTGGAATATCAGCATTTTAGCTGGCTTGCTAATCCCTAGGCCAAACTCTTGCCCCTACCTGTCTTTATTTTTGTCATCAAAAACAAAACCCTTTACATAAGAGCATACTACTTGACAGTTGTTCTTGGGTAATAGAGCTCCTGGGAAACCTTAAGTTCAGAAAATTTTATAGAAATCTTTCATTAGGTTGTTTTAACCCTGGTAGATTTATCCTCCACCCACACATTCTAAACCCAAAAGTAGCTCTGGGAGTGAACCATTTTTAGAAGTATCTTCAAAATTAAGAGAAACAATGTAAGGACTATGCTGTTCCTTCTACATTGGTTCATTTTCGTTTATTAAATAATACGGGGACAGTGTGGCTGTAGTGGGTTAAGTCACCACCTGCAGTGCTGGCATCCCATATGGGCACTAGTCCCAGCTGCTGCACTCCCATCCAGCTCCCTACTAATGAGCCTAGAGCCTGGGAAAGCAGCCGAGGATGGGAGAACCAGATGAAGCTCCTTTCTCCTGGCTTTGGTCTGGCCCAGCCCTGGCCATTGTGGCTGTTTGGAAAGTGAACCAGTGAATGGAAGGCTTCTCTCTCTCTTCCTCTGCATCTCCCTTTCTATAACTCTGCCTTTCAAATAAATAAACAAATCTTTTAAAAACAATAAAAATAAATTATTTAATGTTATTTTTGAAACAATATGATACATGTTTCTGGTTAAATTCCCATTTCAAGACACTAATGTTGACCTGCTGGAAGATTTTTTTAAACCTCATGTTTTATTTTTGCTACAGAGAAGCATGGTCAGGAAAGACTGTGAAGTTAGAGATGGAGACATCAAAATGTGAGCCTACCAGTCTCCCTAAGAAAGCTCTAGATTATGGTCAGTTAATTTTTTGTGGTATTCAAAACTATGGCTAACAGTTCTAAAGGCTGTTAAAGTGACCAAGGAACATTTGACAGAAATTAAATAATATCCATATTGTTTAGCCCCTTCTTTCTCCACAGATGTCTCTTCTTTTTTGTGAAAACAATATTGACCTTGTAACTTTTTTTTTTTTTTTAACAGTTTGCTGCTGGTTGCAGGGGGGACTGTTCTAAAAATCTGTGATTTTGGTACAGCCTGTGACATTCAGACACACATGACCAATAACAAGGGGAGTGCTGCATGGATGGCACCTGAAGTTTTTGAAGGTATGGTGGCAAAAGCATAAGATTTACTGCCTCACTCTATTGTGACACCATGTGCATTGTAGAGCAGTGCAAATTTTGAGTCTCCTGACACATTTCTAATCTTAAGTTGAACAGGGCAATGCTGTACTTTCTTGTCTCATTCTCATTTAGTAAACAGGTGATCTTTGACAGTCTATTGAGACTATTTTTGTGATTTTTGTTGTGATTTTTCTGTTAAAATGGCCCCCAAGTGTACTGCCTAAGTATAAGAAATCACTTGTGTAAGATAATGTTTGCAAATGCAAGTGTTAGATAATCTCATTTAGGCATGATTTACAGTGCTGTTGATCATTAGAGATCATTTAATGCTAATGATTTAATATATATTAAATAAGGTATTTTTAAACAGAAACGCAAACAAGGTTATATGTTGCTCAGTTGACAAAATCTTTCATGATCAGAGGTACCTAGGACTAACTCTCTATTTTCCCTAGGAGCTGTGTTTGTTGAATCAGTGTTTATAGAGACTCTAGAACATGCATACCAGGAATAACCAGCTTTGGTTTCCTAGCAATTAAAAATTGACAGCCCTAAAGTTTAAATGCAGTGACTTTAAAATATGCTAGTAACTGGGCAGAAATATGATACTAAAAATTGCAAATAGAGGGCAAGCTTAAACTTAGGTTTGCTTTCTTTTATACATCCATAAAACTCGGGTTCTAAAAGAATAGTTCATGAACATATATTGTTTCTGTATAAAAACATCAGATTATCTTTTAAATATGAGAATTAAACTGGAAGTACACGATTTGTATGTTAGGAACTATGAATGGTCATAAGGTTCAGATTTGTTCAGTAATCAGATTCTGATTATCACTTATTTCTTTTAGTTTTGATGAATTTAAAGTGTTATTTTTTTTTTGGTTTTGGCCATCTCAGAGAGAACGTTGGGTAACAAGTTGGTGGAATGAAGCTATTTTCCCCTAAAATTCAGTTAAAAAGTTAGTGGACAAACAAGTGTTAAATTACACAAAATTAAGTAATGCCTCTTGTATATAAAATACATTTGACTTTTTAAAAATGTATTTACTTATTTAGTATACTTTTCTGTAAGTGAAAATGGCACAATATTACTGTAGTAAGGAAAACAGAAAGATTGGTTTATTCAAAAGAATAATAATTACTTTTCATATTATTCAATTTTTGACACTGTAGTAAAATAACTGAGGCTTTGTTTTGCCATCTAATGATGGCATTTTTGCTGGCAGAATTGTGAGATGGCCCAGGACATCAGATGACAAGAGATAGCAAGCACATATGTTTATGGATGTGTTTATGTGTCTCTTACGAAGGTACCACATTCAGTGATGAGGGCTCAACCCTAAGACCTCATCTAATCTAATCACTTCACTAAGGCTCTACTTTTAAAGACCATGATTGGATATAGTTTCCATCCTCTTAGTAACTTTAGGCTTTGGAGACTAAACTCCTGAGGTCAAGGGAATAAATATTCAAACCATAGCACCATTGATTATCTCAGCAACAAAACTGAGACTATTATACTATGTAAATTTCATTTTTGAAAGATGTTATCTGGAAGCACTTGTCCATAGTAGATTAATCTTGTTGTATTGCTGCATTACAGTGTGCTATTGAGCAAGCAAGATTGTTACTATAATAATTGCTTATTCTTATGGGGGTTGGGAGGTTTTTTTGGTTTGTTTTACGGTTGTCACTTTTTGTTTGTTTTTTGAACTGTTTATTAAGCTGATTCACCTAGGGATTTAGTAATCCTATGAATGTTGCTGTATAATCTGTTTACCATAAATTTGTTAGCCATAATTTTCATACAGAATTTTATTTTATTCAGAATTTTATTGTTAAGGGGAAAAGCCAGTAAGTTATAGATTTCTCCTGCTTTGTTTTGATAGCAGAGAATGGGGAAAAATTTTAAGATTAAAAATTTCTAGAAAAGAATACACAGAGAAAGTGTCACTCTGAATATATGAAAGATAAGAGCTATACCTTGTGATAAAAGGTAGATGATAAATGCAAAAAAAAAAGTATTCATTGAAAAGACTTAAGTTGCTTTAGAAAGTCATTTCTACCTGTGACAGCCTCCTCATATCCAAGATTCTTGAAGATTTATGAACGCAGTTGTTTCTGTATATCGTGTGGAAGAGAGTCTTGAGATTATATTGCCTTCTTTTTCTAGGTAGCAATTACAGTGAAAAATGTGACGTCTTCAGCTGGGGCATTATCCTTTGGGAAGTGATAACACGTCGGAAACCTTTTGATGAAATTGGTGGGCCGGCTTTCCGAATCATGTGGGCTGTTCATAATGGTTCGTAAAAAGAAATTTTTTAATGTACTTTGTATTTCATATTTGGAAGATTGTTTCTGTCTTATCTCCATCCCCTCTCCCAAAATAAGGAAAAAAATTATCCCTAACCTTAAAAACTAAAATTCTTTGTTATCAAACTATATATCTATTATCAATCCCCAGCCCCTGAGTCTAGTAGGACAGATTTGGGGATTTCCCTGGCCTCCATACAGGGCTGAGAATGTGCTACTTGTGCATATTGGAGAAAGGCCATCAGAACACAACCAGTGCCAAATCTCTGTCTCTCTCGGGCATAGAGAAGGATCATACTAGGCTCTCTGAAAAATTAAATACATAAATAAAATCTCATGTGGTTCAGATAATTGGAAAGTTACAGCCTTTTTCTCCTGAGGAAGCAGAGTCTCAGTAAGGAGAAAAAGCAACAAATAATGATAAGAGTTGTTGGTTAAGCTCATGAAAGCAAAACAGAGTGCTTTACATACCCTCTCTCTATAGTCTCACACAGCCTGAGGAGGTAAATTTGGTTGTCTCATTTTACAGGAAAAAGAGACACAAATAACTCGCCATGGTCTCAGGATTAGTAAGTGGCAGAGATGGGATGCAAATCTAGATCTTTCTGACTCAGTTGCTGTATTTTTCAGACATATTGACTGAGGGACTCACTATTCTTATTCCTGCATATCTCTAGTAATGATATTTCTAAGCACTTAGGTATTTATTTCTAACCCCATATGATGTTAGCATGATCCTCTTCATTAATAGTTATTCCACATTTGCTTTGGGAAAATAAACTCTTCATGAAGGACAGTTACTTAACCTTAGTAAGCATTAGCCTTGTTCTTCATTTCTTTCATTCGAATGTAATCATTTTGATTTGTAACATTTATATTTACTGTTCCGTAAGTAATAAACACAAATGTCTGCCTAACTATTCAGGTCATTCATAGAAGATCATCAGAACAATTTTAGCTGTTTTTATCAGTCTTCTGTACCACTTGCAGTGTTACTGCTGTCAGGGTCATGGTAGGGAATGCTAGATCATTGACCAAGACAGTTTGTTCTCTCTGTCAGCTGGCAGTGAATGATTGAATGGCAATGAAATAAGGAGTAGAAGAACTAACTTGTTACTTCATAAAATTACCAAAACTTCGTATTTGAGGCCTATGTTAAGTGGGATCTTACTAATAATTTTACACAGGTGTAGGACAAAAAGTTGGAATTTTGAGCCTTGAAATGATTGATTCACAGCAACCATAAGGTCTCAAAAGAGTCATTTGGAAGTCAGCAAGTATACTACTGTAGTTGACCAACTTTTTGATATAAAAGATAAGTTTTCAAACACATTTTGAAATTTTTGAAATTTAGGTAATGTTTCTTCAAACCACCATTTGAATTTTATTTTAAAGATTTATTGATTTGTTTATTTCAAAGAATGACAGAAAGGGAGAAAGATTGAGATCTTCCATCCACTGGTTCACTCCCCACATAGCTGCAATAGCTGGGGCTAGGCCAGGCTGAAGCCAGGAACCAGGAACTCCATCCAGATCTCACACATTACGCCATTTTTTGTTGTTGTTGTTAAAAGAGCATAACAAATATTGTTACTTCTCAATCTTACTGTTGTTCTATATTGTACAAGTTTTTTTTTTTTTTTTTTAAAGATTTTATTTATTTATTTGAGAAAGTTATAGCCAGTGAGAAAGAGAGAGACAGAGAGCATGGTCTTCCATCCACTGGTTCTCTCCCTAATTGGCTGCAACGGCCGGAACTGCACCCATCTGAAGCCAGGAGCCAGGAGCTTCTTCCTGGTCTCCCACGTGGGTTCAGGGGCCCAAGGACCTGGCCATCTTCTACTGTTTTCCCAGACCACAGCAGAGAGCTGGATTGGAAGAGGAGCAGCCAGGACTAGAACCAACACCCATATTGGATGCCGGTGCTGCAGGCAGAGGCTTAACCTACTGAGTCACAGCACTGGCCCCGATGTACAAGTTTTAATTTAACTTTTTTAAAGATGTTTTCCCTTTAGGAAAATATACATAAAATAAATGTTAACTTATAGGACAAAAATAAGTCCTTATTTTACTCCAAAATATAGTTTTTAAATTACAAAATCTATAAAATAAACACTGCTTTGGGAATACAAATAAAGAACTTGCTCCATTCTTTGGGTAAATACATTGCTTTCCCTCCTTCTCTCATTTTTAATTATAGGTACTCGACCACCACTGATCAAAAATTTACCTAAGCCCATTGAGAGCCTGATGACTCGTTGTTGGTCTAAAGACCCTTCTCAGCGCCCTTCCATGGAGGAAATTGTGAAAATAATGACTCACTTGATGCGGGTATAATCCTTCTTTTGAGGGGCTTTGAATTTAGGGAAATTTAATGTATACTGAGTTTGAGTAGGGCTTAGAGTAAAGGAGACATTGTAACCATTTTCTTCTTTCTATTTTTGGGTTTTCATTACTCATATAATCAGAAGACCCATTTGGAGTATGAAGGGGGAGTAGTCTAGTTCCTTGTAATGGGAAGATGTTTAGGCTAGGTTTCTGGTTATACCTTTTCATACTGCTTACATTAGTGGACATGTGTTTCTGTTGTCTCATCTGTAATGTGAGAGAAGCTGAATTAGATGATCTGTTAAGCCTTCGCAGGACTTGGGTATATTATGACTTTCACACCCAATGAAGGAAATTTAAAATTTTCTGATATATATCATCAGACATTCAGTATCAGTCAGTCATTTATTTAGTTACACAGGACAGTAGAGGGAGAGGTTGCATTCCCAAATACATTTGAGTGATTATGTTTTACTATTTGTATTTTTGTTGTATATGAAAACCTGAAAAGGTTTTCATAGCTAAAAAATTTTTTTTAAGTTAACCTTTCTTCTAGGATTTATAGAATATTTTAATTTTCCTAGTCTACAAATCAAATACATTAGAATCATTTGAAATAGTTTAGACTTCTAGATTTTGGTAGACTAAGAAAACAACCAAATAGAATGTTTGCTTTAAAATGTTACTTTAAAATGAAAGTACCTGAAATTCAGAGCAATTTGATCAGTAGAACAACCTTGCAATTTCCTTAAATATAGACCAAGTGATTTCCTTAATACCCAAAGATTACTTTTTTTTTTTTTTTTTGACAGGCAGAGTTAGACAGAGAGAGAGACAGAGAGAAAGGTCTTCCTTTTCTGTTGGTCCACCCCCCAAAATGGCCGCTACGGCCGGCACACTGCACCAATCCGAAGCCAGGAGCTAGGTGCTTCCTCCTGGTCTCCCATGCGGGTGCAGGGCCCAAGGACCTGGGTCATCCTCCACTGCACTCCCGGGCCACAGCAGAGAGCTGGACTGGAAGAGGAGCAACCGGGACAGAATCCGGCGCTCTGACCAGGACTAGAACCTGCGATGCCGGCACCGCAGGCGGAGGATTAGCCTAGTGAGCCATGGCACCGTCCCAAAGGTTTCATTTGTTCATTCTATTGAGAATAATGTAGGAAAAGCAGCTTGAACTAATTTGGTTAAACTTTGCCATCATACTAGGATACCAGCTATATATAGAACCCAAGGTGCTAAATAAAGATTTTGTGCATAAGGAAACAACTTAGTCTCTGATTAAAATAACAGAAGTTTCAGATATAGAAATTGTTCAGATTTTAACTATGTATATATGTGCTTTGTCTAATTTCAGAAGAGTGCCTTAAGCTTTTTTGTCTAGCAGATACTTTCAGTGTTATGTCTCTACCTCAGAGAAGGACATTCAATATCTATTCTCTCAATACTTATAATATTTAGAATATTTAGTATTAATTATTATGCTATGGTATACCAGTCTCCTTTGTCAGGCCAATAATCATTGCAACAGTTTAGAAGTTTACATCATTGCCATGAGAACATAGATGTATTTCAGATCATTATAGCCATGATAGTGTTCTGTTTCATATATTCCTCTGCAGGGGTGGGGAACGTGCCTTCTGTGCACCATCTAAGGCCCACAAAATAATTTGGTAACCCTGCCAAGGCAACCACAGGCAGATCTCAAAATTCAATAAATCTATAGCAGGCTAATTTTTAAGTTGTATGGCCTCTGAATGATGTTATAAATATCCAAATGGCCCTTGGCAGAGAAAAGATTTCCTACCCCTGCTCTAGAGAAATATTTGGTGTTTCCTTCAAGACTGTCTAAACTCCATGTAAATAAGACACTTAGGCAGGTGCATAGCATTCATCATAATTGAAACTCAAAAGGGAGTATGTCACCATCATCTTACCAAAATCAAAAACTTAGACCTCTACAAATTTAGTATTTGTTTTAGGGACGATAAAACAGCATATTTGGTATAGTCAAGTCGCATTAGAGGGAAGTAATTCAGGTGTACTCTTCAGGTAATTTTAACAGGAATTGGTCTGTAGTAAAGAAATTTTAAATTGTCCTTTACTTTTTTATATATAGTACTTCCCAGGAGCAGATGAGCCATTGCAGTATCCTTGTCAGTATTCAGATGAAGGACAGAGTAATTCTGCCACCAGTACAGGTAAATGGATAGATAGGAAGACTAATAACCTGACTTTTTTTGGTCTCTATTCCAATGAAATTATAATCAAGAAGCAGTGAATGATGTTCCCATTTGCATTTTAATTCCTTCATTTCATATGATTGACTGCAATTTGAGTTTCCAGGTGCATCATTTTTCATGAAGGTACCCAGATTAAAGAGTTTATTTTAGACCTGCTTCCAAGGCTTGGAATTCTTGTATAGTTATATAAAATAAGGCTGGATATTATATTACTGTGTATGTCATTCTTAATTTGAAAACATAGTTTCTACGTGATACTGCTAAATAGTATTAAAAATTATTATAAATGTGTTTAATGTATTTCTTCATGAACATCACTACTTTTTGACTCTTGTTTAAGAAGCTTACCTTTAGTTAAAAGTTCTGCTTTCTGAAATAAAGTGGTCAGATATGTAGTTTTTGGTCATCCAAAAAATTAGAAATAATATTCAAAATTGTACTCTCAAAATATATGGCATTTATCCATTTTGTTATTAATTATAACTAAAAGGTGTGGTGTTTGTATATACATGTGAGAGTACTTCCAAAGCTCATGGGGAATAGAATTAAAAGATTATTTTGGTGCAAAACAGTGTGAAATCTATGCATGCTTTTTTCATGATATGTATTTTTCCCATGAATTTTTTGAAAACTTCTCATATGTTTTTGCCTTTCTTTTAAAATTTTACTTTTCTGACATATTTTTACTGGTCTGTTTCTCCCTTTTCAAGAATAGTTTTTACTTGCCATGGGACCCCAAATCCCATTAAGCTGGGTGGTAAAAATGCCATCTTAAGTGTTAAAGTGATCATATTTTTAAAGTGATCATATAGATAGGATTAACTGTTAAAGGAATCATATAAATAAGATCGAGTATCTGGTAATAATAATAGATTGAATTAAAATGGAGAGAATGTTCCAGCATGGGAAGCAGTCCACACAGCAGACTCATAGAATGACAATCGCTCTAAATAACACTCTGACCTCAAAATCAGCCCTTAAGGCATTCTGGTCTGGCTGAAAAGCCCATGAGAGCATTTTAGGCATGGAAAGCCAAGACACTGTGGCAAAAAAAGTCCAACATGAAGGATCTCTGTGAGTGAGACCCCAGTGGAAAGAAGTGGCCATTCAAGAAGGATGTACTTTTCTCTGAAGGGAGGAGAGAATTCCCACTTTGCTTATGGCCTTGTCTAAATACTGACAGAGTTTGTGGTCACAAAAGGCTTCCATAGCCTTGGCAGCTCATGTCAAGAGCTTCAGGTTATCACTGACATATATAAGAATGTTAATTATTAAATTAACAACAGGAGTCACTGTGCACTTACTTCCCATACAGGATCTCTGCCCATAATGAGTTTTATTATGAGAATTAACTAAAATTTGTTCTCAAACGTTTTGTGTGTGTTTGTGTGTGTGTGTGTGCAAATTGTTGAAATCTTTATAGTATTGAGTTGGTCTTCTGTGTATAAAGTTAATTGAAAATGAATCTTAATGGAGAATGGGACTGGGAATGGGAGAGGGAAGAGGAGGAGGGTTGGGAGTAGGGGTGAGAGGGTAGGTATGGTGGGAAGAATCACTATGTTACTGAAGTTGTGCTTACAAAATTTATTCTCATTAAATAAAAGGTTTCTTTGGGGGGAAAATAGTTTTATTTATTTTAAACTAGCTATTGCTTAGCTTTTTTAAAAATATTTATTTGAAAGGCAGAGTTATTAACAAAGAGGGAGAAGCAGAGAAATCTTCCATCTGCTGGTTCTCTCCCCAAATGGCTCACTCCTCAAATGGCCACAATGGCTAGGACTGGATCAAGCCAAAGCCAGGAACCAGGAGCTTCATCCATGTCTCCCACGTGTATGTCAGTGGCCCAAGTACTTGGGCCATTTTCCATTGCCTTCCTAGTATGGATTGGAAGTGGAGCATCTGAGACTTGAACTGGCGCCAGCTCTGCAGGCAACAACTTAACCCACTGCGCTGGATCCCTGCCCTGCTTAGCTATTCTTAAATTCCAGTTTTAGTGAAAATCTTTAGAGATGCTCTGAAATTTCTTTGGAATTCCATCATTTGCTAGTCCCACTACCTCCAAACTGTCATTCTTTCCAAAGTGTGCTTCAGTCCTTCCATCTTCTCGATGACCTTCAGTCTTTTAGGTCCTTCTGTGTCCCTCCTTCTGCTTGATTTCAGTCAACTATTTGAATCTTTGGAGAATAATCTTACATTTCTAGTCCCTCTCAGAGTTGCCTGGCTTAACCCCAAATCTGATTAAATCTGGCACTTAGTTTGCTCCCTGCCTGTGTCAGTGCAGCTGAATATGGCTGGAGACAGCATGTGCTCACTCTCTTCAATTATGTATTCATTGCCACCGGACACTTATATTTGTAGTTCATCACCTCTCTCCTAGATGACTTAATTTTAAAAAAATTTATTTATTTATTTGAAAGAGTTACAGAGAAGCAGAGAGAGAGAGAAATGCAAGGCCTGATCCAGTCAGGAGCCAGGAGCTTCTCCCGGGTTTCCCACATTGATACAGGGGCCTAATTTCTTGGGCCATCTTCCACTGCTCTCTTAGGCGTATTAGCAGAGAGCTGGATCAGAAGTGGAGCCACCAGGACTTGAGCCAGCTCCCAGATTGGATGCTGCCACTGCAGGCGTGGCTTGACCTGCTATGCCACAGCACTGGTCCCCAGTGACTTAATCTTATACTTTAGCTCCTCTCCTCAAATTTCAGGCACCTCCTCACCACTGCTCACTCTAAGATGACATGGACATTGTTTGCTATTTTTCTGAGAACATTGGAGTAATCAAAGGACAGTTTCCACAAGATTCTGTACTACATCTGCCTACCTGTCTGCACTTACACTCATCTACTGTAGGTTCTTTCATTACTATGGCTTCACTATCCAAGCTTGTAGCCAAAGGTGAATCTTTTTAGTTGTGCATCATACCCATCTGCCCATCCCAGACAATCTCCCCTCTCCTGTCATCAGTTTTAGGTTTTCTACTGGAATCATTCCCAGAGCAAACCTAGGCTGTCTCTGCATTCTCTGAAAAAAAATCTCTCTTCCCATTCTATACTGTACCCACTTCATTTGAACATTTATTCTGCTACTGCCGTGGAATTATTCTTGTCAAGGTCAGCAATTATCTCTGTATTATGGTAACACAGAGTTAGACTCTAGTAAGTGATTTTTCAGTTCTCATTGTATTTGACTCTAGCATTTGACACTGTTTAGTACTCTGGCTTTCCTATAGCATGTTCTTCCACTGGTTTCCAGACTCCCACTAGCCTGGTTTTTGTCTTCTATCTCTTGCCATTTGTTCACAGTTTCCTTATTAGCTGATTATTCATGTCTTCAGTCTATAAATGTAAGAGTGTGCAGGGCTTATCTATGCATGTTTCCTTGCTCACTCCACCCAGTATCATGGCTTTAATGGCATTATCTACCATCTATTTACTGATGTTTTTCTCCATCTCCTACTGGAACTCCATACTCATACATGGAACTACTTGCTTAATACCAAACAGGAACTCAAACTTAACATTTTCCATAGTGAATTTTTTATTACTTCCTTCAAATTACTATTCCTTTTTGCTTCCCCATCTCAATCAAAAGCCTTCAGTTTTTATCCTAGATCAGGTTAAAAACTTTAAGTTATTCTAGATATTCTAATTGGATAATTTAGGCATTTAGGTTCCTTTATTCAGCTGTCCTTAAGTTCCACTTGAAATGGGTTCATTTGGGAGTAGAGGTTGTAGCCCAGCAGCGCAGGCTGCCATTTGGGATATTCACATCCAATACTATAGTGCCTGGGATCAAGTCCTGACTCCCCGTCCAGTCCAGCTTCCTTAATGCACCTGGGGAATAGCAGGTAGTGGCCCAAAAACTTGGGTCCCTTGCCACACATGTGGGGGACCTGGATGGAGTTTACAGCTCCTGGCTTTGGTCAGGCCCAACCCTGGCTTTTGCAAGCATTTGGGAAATAAAATAGCAGATGGAAGATTCTGTCTCTTCACTCTCTACCTCTCTGTCTCTGGCTTTCAAATAAGTAAGTAAATATTATTAAAAAAAACAAGTTTGTTTTAAGTATCTTTATTTATCTTTATTAACTTAAAATGTCTTTATTTCTATTCATGTCCTGCTAGTTTAGAAAAGAATTTAACTTACATACTGTTTACTGAAGTGTTTGTATTATTCTCAACCTGTAGTGATAAATGTTCTGCTTTCTTAGGTTCATTCATGGATATCGCTTCTACAAATACCAGTAATAAAAGTGACACTAACGTGGAACAAGTTTCTGCCACAAATGATACTATTAAACGCCTAGAATCTAAATTGTTGAAAAATCAAGCCAAGCAACAGGTTTGTTATATTAAGAAAGTTGCATGATAACCTTATTAACATTATTTTAATTGAAGTTAATGATTTGCCATCTTCTATTATATAAATCCGAAATCTTCCTGGAACCGATGAGTTTAAGAATAAAGACAAAATGAGATTTCTCCTTCTGTTTGTTACCGAACTGTTTTTCTTTCAAATAACAGTTGTTGTCTTTGCCAACTTTGTAACTCCCTCCCTATAATGATCCCTCACTTTAATAGTTGACAGTTAAAAATGTAAAATGGTGGCCGGCACCACAGCTCACTAGGCTAATCCTCCACCTGTGGCGCCAACACACCAGGTTCTAGTCCCAGTCGGGGCGCCGGATTCTGTCCCGGTTGCTCCTCTTCCAGTCCAGCTCTCTGCTGTGGCCCAGGAGTGCAGAGGAGGATGGCCCAAGTCCTTGGGCCCTGTACCCACAGGGGAGACCAGGAGGAAGCACCTGGCTCCTGGCTTCGGATCAGTGCAGTGTACCGGCTGCAGTTCACCGGCCACAGCGGCCATTGGAGGGTGAACCAACGAAAAAAGGAAGACCTTTCTCTCTGTCTGTCTCTCTCACTGTCCACTCTGCCTGTCAAAAAAAAAAAAGAACAAACTTAAAAAAAATGTAAAATGGTATAGTCTGGCAGCACTATCCAGTTAAGGGAGTTGTCCTAAATCTATGATTTTGAGCTGTTCAGATTTATTATATTTTTGCCTGTTTTGATTTGCTCTCCTTTCCCCTGCAAACTTCCCTGTTCATTAAGAGCAGGACAAGATCTATAGGAATCCCTCTGGGCATCTTCTTCCTTCTAGGGCCCGGGATTTCTAAATCTAACAAACTTCAGTAATTCAGATTGACTTCTAATTTTAACAGAGTGAATCCGGACGTTTGAGCTTGGGAGCCTCCCGTGGAAGCAGTGTGGAAAGCTTGCCCCCAACCTCTGAGGGCAAAAGGATGAGTGCTGACATGTCTGAAATAGAAGCTAGGATTGCTGCGACCGCAGGTAAAAAGAACTGCAAGTTGAAGAGGAGCAAAAATGTAATGCTTTTTGGTGCAGTAGCTCCAGTGGTTTCATTAGGAACCTCAGCATTTTTGTATCATATTTTTTGAAAAGAAAATAGATTTATAATAGATTTTCTGAGCTTTTAGAAATAGTTCATGCATCATCTCAAATTCCATAGAAGAAAAGTATGATTTGTAAGATTATTTGAGTTATAAAATATTCCTTCCTAATTACAGATCTCATCAAACACAATTGACTGTGCTCAAACATGAGCTGAAAATCTAAGTGAGAAATTGAAATTATGCCAAACCCAGAATGTTTGGGAGGATTTTGAATGTTCTACTAGATTTTAGAACTTAAATCAAATAACAGAAAATATTTTGTCTTGAAGTTAGTTTCTTCCAGACCCAAATGTGATTTGGCCTTACTGTCTACTCCTCTTTTCTTCAATAGCCACTAGAAGGTTGTGCTTAATTTCTTTAATTGTAAATGAAAGATAATGATTATTTTATAGAATATTGAAAAACCTAGCCTTTAAATTTGATTTTTTTCAGTTCTAAAAATTATTAATCATAGAAGAACTAGTCGACTCAAAAACAATTACATTTTTTGTTGGACTGACCACCTTTTTTTCTAACCAGATTTCATTTTGGTAACGTTGGTTTATTATTATTGTTGTTGCATTGATTGTCCACAGGCTGAAAGGGAGCTGATAATAAAAGTAAACACATCTGTTTTGGGAAATGTAGAAATGTAAACAAATGAGAAAGAATCTTGTTATATAATTTTCATATTCAGATATAAACTTAACATTTTTGTTTACTTACCTCTAGTCTTTTAACTATGTTTGTGTGTAAATGTGTATTTCCATGTGTATTTGCATGGAATCCATTTGTATTTTTTAACTTACCTAACCAAGTTTTATGTTTTTGGGCCTTGCTTTTTTATATTTATTTGTGGGTTTTTTTCCTAAATAGAATATTCTTACTGTGTGTAGAACTCTCTTGAGACGTAGTACAGATGACCCATCAATCATACTATACTTATCTTCAACTACTCTTGATTACTGATTTTATCAGCTAGCACTAGAATTTGTTAGGTAAAACATGTCTATGATATATAAGCTTTATTTTTCATGCATAAACAAATCTGAAGTAGGCTGTATGATCATCAGGAAACTGGTGTCATCTCTATGATGGTGTCCTCTCTCTCTCTCCATGCAACAATCCCTGTTGTATAGCTTCCATCCTCAGGGTTATCTTATATCTAAAATGGCTCTTCCATTCATCACTTCTGCTTTCCAGGCAGCAAAAAGGAATAAATGGGGGGGAGGATAAAGGATATCCATGGTATTTGAAGGAACTTACACAGAAGTCCCTCTAAACAACTTCCACATATTTCATTGGCCAGAGTAATATGGTCAGGTAGCTGCCCACAGCTCCAAGGGAAAGAGGGCTACATAGTCTTTTATCTAGGAGTGCTGCTTTCCTAAATAAGTCAGAGTTCTGTTACTCAGAAGGAAGAACAGAACAGATGGGTCTTCAGAAGCAATCAAGTTGAGTAGAGGTCACCAGCTGCTGGGAGGCCCCCTGACCTCCAGGAGTCATCTGCAAGTGTGGGTGTAGAGTACGATGAACTGCACTTGCAGGGACACGTTCACACATCCTGGGGAACCTTTGTCACTTCAGGGTTGTCTTTCAAGATAGACTTGCCAAACACTGGTTGCTATCCTAAAACAGCATTGTTATGATAATGTTTTATATCTTTGCTATCATTTTTCTAGTCAAGTACTGATTTATAATTATTCTTTACAGAAATGACACCAACTTAAGGATAACCACAGACACTAAAATTATCCCATCCTTTTTTCCTAAGTATAAAACAGATCCTGTTGTGCATCCTCTAGATTTTACACAATTTAAATTTTTCAGTGAATTGTCTTACTTTGAAAGATTCATACTCTCCAGCCTTTCAAGTTCCTTCTACTACCCTAAACTTTGAAGAATACAGTAAATATTCAGTTTACTGGAAATATGTATGAGTATTTATATATAGGAAAGCATATACATTTTCTACTTTGATTCAATAATTAGCATTAATCATGAATTTTACTTTATAGAATCCTTCAGGAAACACCTTTTTGAACATACATCTTGTGCTTGTGCGATTAAAACAAATGGCAGCTTGCTCCTTTTTAACTCCTCTCTCTTCCCAAATCTCATCACATATCAGCAGTTTCACTTAGGTAGATTGTTTCTGTGAGCACATTTGAAATTCAACTTCCTCATTACTGTGCAGCTTTGTTTGTCTTTTTTTCCTGCTGATTAAAACCCCAATGTGTGAAACATCTCATATCAGTAGTTGTTTGCTCTTTAATTGTGCTGTTTCTAAGCATGGATAAAAAGTAGATAGTTCTGCATGCCATTCTGCATGAGATGTTATTAACATAACTATATGAAAATATTCTGTTTTTGTAGGTCATCGTGTTCTGTGTTACTATTTTTGTTTGTTTGCATGTATACTGTATATATGTGTTTTGCAGCATATTCCAAGCCTAAACGAGGCCACCGTAAAACTGCTTCATTTGGCAACATTCTGGATGTCCCTGAGATCGTCATATCAGGTATCATAGGCCACCTGAGTTGGTCTAATAACTGTGGAGCCAGAATAATGATCCCTGGTACTTTTAAAATGCTTCTTGCTCCAATTTTTGTAAGACATGAAAACGGATACCTTGCATGACAGTAATTAAGGAGACAGATTGAAAACTATGTACACTTATAGTGAAGCAGGCTTGAAAAAATAACTTTATGTCTACAATAATGAGGATAAAATAGAAAGGAAAGTAAACCTTCTCACAAAGGAGAGACCATCAACTCAGAATTCTTACATCTTCCTCTCATATCCTAAGTGAGGGACATGAGCTAAACCCAAACTCCTCTGCACCCAGCAGAAAGAGGAAACAACTGTTAAATTTTTTTTGTTGGTTCTTGGTTCCTTCTTTCCTAACTTATTACTTTTGGGGCTTCCTCTAGACTTTGTATCCCAGCCTCTTTCAGTTGGTGGCAAGTGAATATGAAGTTGAAAAGAGTTGCTCTGTACAGTTTTATCTCAACCTAAAGAACAGAATACAAAGTAAATGTAAATGAAATGTGCTGTTTTGCAGGGTATCTTGCCAAAGAATAGTGTAACATATATGGTCAATTCTGGTTTCGTGTATTACTAGGAAAATCTCACAAATTAAATGTTTTTATATCTGACTCATACATGGTACTCAGTGTCTTACATTGATAAACTACTTTTATATCATAGATGAATATAAAATACCATTTTATTAGAAATCTGAATGGCATATTTGAGCTTCAATATTGATTAATCTGTTATCAAAATAATTTATATATCCCTCTGCTATAGATTTCTTTCTACCTCTGTCCCCAAATTTTTGATAAGGAAATATATAGTACTTTCCACACACATTCATGCATGTGATTTGGATGAATTCTTCAACTCTGAATTTTGCCTGTAATTGTGTTGAATAGGTAATAGTTCTTTGTCCCCTGCTAAACTGAAAACTCTGTATTGGTGGAGACTGTGTCATTGTTGATTATTTTTTATTGTATCAACAGTAGTTAGTGCAATGATTCACATTTTAGCATTTAATAAATATGTTTATTATATAAATAAACGAATCATTATTGGACATCTCCTATGGCTAAGTCCCAAAAAATATATATAAATTGTGCAATTCCTAGGGCATTTTATCTATTGCTGTTCAAATAATAGAACTGACACATTTCTCATGGAGTAATTTTTACTTATAAATCTGGGCCGCAAATACTTGCCATCGTTTTCTCCCTGGGGAGAAACTTACTAAGGAGCTAACACTCTAAAGAAGTGGTAGTATATAAACTTACTGATGAACTGAGATTACCTTAAATATTTCAAGGAATCAGGAAAATTTAGATGAATGGCCACAGTCTTAATGCAGATCTTATAAGTAAGCATTAGGAATAAATATGTGGCAATATAGCCAGTGAATATAGTATTAAATGAATTTCATTTGTTTTTTTGGCAGCAACATAGACTTTTAATTTGATTTCCCATGAACTTTTTAAACACCCCTCTTACAAGATAATAGAGGAAGGAGAAGAAAGGAAAGAATAATTTATAGCTGGCAAGTGCTACTGGTATATAGAGGGCAGAGGCCAAGGATGCTACTAAATAGCCTGTAGTGTAACAGACTGTCTCCCACAACAAAAAAGTATCCAACTCAAAATGTCAGCACCACTGACACAAAGGTCCCTCATCTTAATTGATCTTTATGACAGCCTTGTTATCAGAAGGTTATCAGAACAAGTTATGGTCACTTTACAGATGAAGAACTTAACTCTAATGCTATGAGTGGTTTTCCCAGAGTCACATATCCAGGACCCCAGCCCAGATCTTCTGACTCCAAATCACATCTACTTTCTGTTCTTTTGTTTAAGTTAGAAAAGATAATAAATTTCCCAGATAGGGTAATTCTTCCTTTATCTGAGTTGTTCACTTGGGGAGACCATGACATTGGTTTCTTATGGATTTAGGAAACCTTAATGCTGTTCTAATAAAGATATTAAGGGGAGAGTGTGTAGCCTAGCAATTAAGATGTCAGCTGGTAAGACACCCGCATCCTTCATTGGAGTACCTGGGCTTATACCCAGCTCCAGCCACTGGCTGACTCACAGCAGTATTTGTCAATGTAATAGTCTCCCTGGACATGTAGAAATTGACTTCTAATGCCTCAATGCTCCTATGGAGCAGATTGCACAACTTCTTAAACTTTGTCCACATTATTTCTCTCTCTGAATAAGTGTCAGCCAACTTTGATATGGTAACTTTCCCTTCCTCTACTGTCTCCTAATATTTCCCTACTTGAACTGTCCTACCTGCTCATTAAGAGTGAGCTAGAGCCAGCGCCGTGGCTCACTAGGCTAATCCTCTGCCTTGCGGCGCCGGCACACTGGGTTCTAGTCCCAGTCGGGGCGCCGGATTCTGTCCCGGTTGCCCCTCTTCCAGGCCAGCTCTCTGCTGTGGCCAGAGAGTGCAGTGGAGGATGGCCCAAGTACTTGGGCCCTGCACCCCATGGGAGACCAGGATAAGTACCTGGCTCCAGCCATCGGATCAGCGCAGTGCGCCGGCCACAGCACGCCGGCCACGGTGGCCATTGGAGGGTGAACCAACGGCAAAGGAAGACCTTTCTCTCTGTCTCTCTCTCTCTCTCACTGTCCACTCTGCCTGTCAAAAAATTAAAAAAAAAAAAAAAAGAGTGAGCTGGAGATTATCCTGGTCCATTATTACAAGGCAGGACACACAATTAAGGGCGTTTTACCAACATATTTAGCTGATACATTGGAATAGGCTTTAGAAAAAGAAAATCCAGTTTTTTAAGTGTTTTCTGTTAATACTTGAATTTAAAAGCATAATCCTGGAGCCAACATCATGGCATAGCCAATTAAGCCACCACCTGCAATGCTGGCATCCCAATTCATGACGAGCTGCTCCACTTCCCATGCAGCTTCCTGCTGGTGGCCTTGGAAAAGCAGGGGAGAGTGGTCCAAGTGTTTGGTCCCCTACTATCCATGTGGGAGAGCCCGATGAAGCCTCTGCCTCCTAGCTTCAGCTTAGCTCAGACCTAGCCCTTGTGGCCTTCTAGCGAGTGAACCAGCAGATGAAGATAACTTTGTCTTTTCCCTCTCTCTCTCTCTCTCTCTCTCTCTCCCTCCTCCTCACCCATCTCTCCCTCTCTTCCTGTAACTATGACTTCAAATAAATAAATATATTTAATAAAAATCCTTTAAAAAAAAGCATAATCCTTTCTCCTTTTCAGCCAGTGAATTATGATTTGTTGTCTTGTCATTTGAAGAAAGGGGACTGAATGAGAGATTATTAGATTGCTTTAAGTTTTTCTAGTAGTTTTTCTTCCAGTATTTATTAAGAGCAGTAAAAACACAGATCTTTATTTTCCTTTCTTTATTTTCCCCCATATTTTGTTTTTGTTACTCTCCAAGCTTCCACAAATCTGTTTCTTCCTGTACCTTCATCTCAAATACCCAAATGAAATGGGGATTATGATTGTGAAAATCTATAATACACTCTAATAATGGCAGTACATCTGGTACTAGAAGAACACCTGAATTTTGCATTCTTTTAAAAATCCAGATGTTAAAAATGAACAAGTAAATTGCTTAAAAGTTACAAAAAAAGAGGAGCAGACTTTTTCAGTCAAAAGCAGAGAGTAAATAGTTAACAAAGCAAATTTTGTTTTGTTTCTAGGATCAATAATCAAGGAAGATCAGCAGTGGTGCCCTGAGGTCCTTATGTGAATAGTTAGAGCACTTAAGGGAAATCAGCTAGGATTATAATGCAGTTTGAAATCCACTGGAAAAAAAACTTGTGCATATATATATACATATATATGTGAAACACCTGTAAAAGGTTTAATTGAAACATTCATCTTCTCTGCTTCCTCCCACTCTAATATAAAATTTGCTGTACTTCATGTGTACCAGTGAGATTGCTATTATAAAATGATAGGAATTCCCAAAATGTGTTTTCCAATAGTACGTTTTCTAAATACATCTTGCTAATTAGCTAAGTTGGAAAATGTAGACTATTTGTACTTAAACAATTTTTATTAATGTAACTGTATTACAGTTGACAATTCTGAATTTCTTTGTTCAGACTACATTATGCTGCTGAATTTTTCCCCCCTCCCACTCCTGGTCTGATAGGTAGAGACAGAGACATGTACACAGACAAATAGAGGGAGAGTTCCCATTTGCTGTTTCACTCCAAGATGCCCACAATAGCCAACACTGGGCCAGGCTAGGCCAAAGCTGGGAGCCAAGAATGCAATCCAAGTCTCCACGTGGACTCTACCTGTCAGGGTCTGCATTAGCAGGAAGCTGGAATTGGGAACCAGAGCCTAGTCATTTTGCTTTAGGACTGGCTTGTTAACCATTAAGCCAAACATCTGCCCCTTGATTTTTTTTTTTTGTTTAATTTTTTGACAGGCAGAGTGGACAGTGAGAGAGAGAAAGGTCTTCCTTTGCCGTTGGTTCACCCTCCAATGGCCACCACAGCCGGTGCGCTGTGGCCAGCGCACCGCGCTGATCCAATGGCTGGAGCCAGGTGCTTCTCCTGGTCTCCCATGGGGTGCAGGGCCCAAGTACTTGGGCCATCCTCCACTGCACCCTCTGGCCACAGCAGAGAGCTGGCCTGGAAGAGGGGCAACCGGGACAGAATCCGGCGCCCCGACTGGGACTAGAACCTGGTGTGCCGGCGCCGCAAGGCGGAGGATTAGCCTAGTGAGCCACAGCGCCGGCTGATTGCATTTTAAGCACTTGAAACTTTTCTCATCCATTCTGTAGATAAGCATCACATGAAAATGCTTTTTTGTATTATGTTATGTTCCTACCTTGCACAGATAATATTGCAGACAATTATAAACCTTACACTAGGGATACTGAGGCCCAAAGGAAGGTATAATAAGATATTTTTTGCCTGTTTCTGTCATGTATAAACACTTCAGTTTCAATAAAATTCCATATTTATAGTTAATTAAATAGGGAAATTAACTTTACAAATGAACATTTAAGAGGCTGTCTACTATATTGTTATCTACCAAGCATACTTTGTAAAATAAGAAGTCAAGTTCTAACCTAATAAAGATGGCTTATTAGAAAGAAAAGTAATACTTGCTTTCCTTTGATGGGGGAACAAAAACCCCACTTGTATGGCCTTTCTAAAGAAAAAGCCAGAATTTGTTTACATTAGTGAAGGAGTATGAAATTTGTGGCAGCTTAAGTAAGAGCACATATTTTTAAATTACAAATTAATTTTACCATGAAGCAGTAATTTAATGCCACAGTGTATAGTGCTATACACATTTTAAATCATATTTTACATAAGAGAACAGTGTCCCACAATTTCAACATTAAAAATTTAAGAATCTCAGAATTGTGAGCATTTTGGTTGAGATAGGACAAAAATACAGTTTTGATTTTTAAATGAAGAGAGTGTTCAGAAATTTGGGGATAAAAAAGCTATGAACTTATTTAATCCAATAGAAAAACAAAATAGCTGGGGGACCTGAGCCAGCAATTTCTGAATTCTGTGATAACTTTCAGATACTAGCTCAGAAAATCAGTTGTGTGTGCAGCTTTTTTGAAGAGATTTATTCTGTCTTTGAGACATTACTGTAAAAAGAACCATAATGACTTATATGCTGCTATTCTTAACCCTCTTTCTATTTTTTTTTCTTAAATAAGTGTAGGAGATGTAGACTAGGCTGGTCCTCTGATTAATTCCTTTTATTGCTTTCACTTAGGAGAATCATTCTAAAACATGTCATTTGTTTTCTATCACAAGTCATGAAAGTTCCAGAATTTATTAGAGAAATATTCAGGGCATCGTAAGCAGGTTTCACATTTCTTCATCAGTTACTTGTTTACATCCTGTTGCTCTTGTTTCTACTTTTTTTGTTTGCCATGTGTAATATAGGTATGCACATTCCAAAAGACCATAAAAAATGTAAAATAAGATTCTAAATTAGAATTCAGTTGCGCAAAATTCACAATCCAAATTTACCGAGAACACACCCAGTCATTTTCATTTGCAGTAATATGAGATTGATTTTTTTACATTCATGTATCTAAATCATGATTCTAAACTTAATATTGGAGCAACAAGTATTCGTTGATTGCAGTCTTTTTTTGGCCTTGTCTGAACTGTCTGCCAGATGGTTTCTGCCATGGTTGTGCCAATTAAAATGCATTGCCTAATATTGCTTGCTTTGACTCATGCTTGGAGATGTCTCATTTTGTGGCATTCGCTGTCAGCTCTTTTTCACCCTGTTTCCTTAAAAGTTTTTACTTCCCTTTTCTCCTACCCTCTACCTCGTCTTGAGTTCATTTTTGTTGTTATTGCAATGATGATGTAATGGTTTATAGACACTTGTGCAGGGTGGTTCCTCAGGTTCACAGATGTTGCTAATCTGAAAAGAGAATTCCAGACACTTTTACAAGCCCATCTCATCTATGCTAATTTTAGAATGAGTGTGTTGAATGAAATGTCCCTAAAATTACTCATTAGTCATGGTGATTGGGGGGTCCTTTTTGTCCTTGGGAAACTGTAGTTAAAAAGTGTTCACAAAAGCATTGTGGTGTGTTTGATTCAGTAAGTGTGCAGTTTGTTCTTTTAGTCTTTAATGTTACTTAGTCTTTTAAGTTTTTGGAATAAAATGAAATTTTAGAAAATGTGAATTCAGGGGAGCCGGCACTGTGGCTCACTAGGTTAAAATCCTCCACCTGCACTGCCGGCATCCCATATGGGTGCCGGGTTCTAGTCCCGACTGCTCCTCTTCCAGTCCAGCTCTCTGCTGTAGCCCGGGAGGGCAGTGGAGGATGGCCCAAGTGCTTGGGTGCCTGTACCCTCATGGGAGACCAGGAGGAAGCACCTGGCTCCTGGCTTCAGATTGGTGCAGCGCCATCCATAGCGGCCATTTGGAGAGTGAAACAACGGAAGGAAGACCTTTCTCTCTGTCTCTCTCACTGTCTATAACTCTACCTGTCAAATAAAATAAAAAAAATGTGAATTCAGATTATGCAAAGAATCTAAAAGATAGCCTATAATGGAAAAAAGGGATGATAACCTAGACTTAAGTGTGTGATTGTAAATTTTTTTGTTTACTACACTTACGATGCATTAAAAATTATTATTCTCTTAAGCCCTTTTAGTTGATTGCACAATAATATTGGAGTCACATGGATTATCATTTTAAATTACATTGCTGATTGGTTTAAAATAAGATTATATATGTGTGTGTGTGTGTGGGCACACACATGTTGAGGATTATGGAAATCTAAAATTTTAAGAATTATTCTGTCAGCTAATTGGGCCACAACTAGTGCATGTTCTCAGTGCTGCCAACTAGTTGAGAAATTACATAATATAGCTAACAGTAAGCTAAAAGAATTTTGAGTATTGTATCAGCTGTTACTCGGAGTATTTTGGCGTTTCCTTTAGACAGCTGATCTCTCATCTTAGAAGACACTATATAAACAACCCTACTCCCAAATAAATGTGCTGAATGAAGCTACTGCTTAAGTCATTCCATTTTATTGAAGACTTACATTTGTAGCATTCTTTCATAAATGACTTTTTATTGAGTTATTATTAGCATAAAAGTCCCTAAAGCAGGGCTAACACAATAGCCCATTTCAACAGGCTATAATTGAGAGAATGAGAGTCTTTCCAGGAGGAAATTAAGGAGTTGTTATTCACAAATGATAAATTAGTAGGTTCTGTAAAGGCTATTGGGGTTAAGTAAGTGTGACTTGGTGTAATGAGTTTAAGCCTAAGCATCCTTTTATGTCTTGAAAAAGGTGCTGCTGCCAGTTGAAGTCAGTTGTGTCTTACAACCAGCTAGCTGTCTTGCTGTAAAAACTAACGTAAGGCTCCTGAAATAGATGCCGTCATCAGCCCCAGCCCCCAAGCATTCATCTATTTAAACACATGACAGAAGATGGTAGAAGAGAGTTCAGCAGCTATTCATGTGGTAGGAGTGGTTATTGTATTAGGACATACTCCATCGTAGACCAGCAACTTTTGAGTTAAAACATTGCAGCTGTTTCTCTTCCTTTCCTTACTTCCTTCCTTTCTCTCTCTGTCTCTCTCTCAACAATCTTACTTGTTCTTTTTCTCACAAACATTTTGTATAGATCCAAGGAACAACAATTTCCAACTTCCTTCTGTAGCAATTACCAAACCTTTACTATCTGTTTCAATAGATTTCAATGCTTTGCTTTTTTTATTTCTCAAAAGGCAACGGACAGCCAAGACGTAGATCCATTCAAGACTTGACTGTTACTGGAACAGAACCTGGTCAGGTAAGACTTAACATTCAGTTTCCTGTCTTTGAAGAATTATGATAAACAGAAATTGAGAATTTGCTTTAATGTATTCTGCAAAATCAGATTTATAATTTGACCTAAAGTTTTGATACAGAAATTCATTGGCACAAAACTTAAATACTTAGGGAAAAATAGCATAAATGTTATTATTAATTTAATTTGAAGGCTAATTTCTGAAGGCAATTTAAATTGCATGGGAAAGAAATTGTTTAGCAGTGCTGTATATATGTTATATGATTTTTATGTGTATCTTCATAAGTAAATATTCAACTTTGTAATTAAACTATTTGTCATTATCATTATCCTCTAAAGGGAATCAATATTATTGTTTGCTTTTTACTAGTGGGGTAAATACTTCCCCACCCCTCTGTCACATACAGAGTTGGCATACCTATAGACCTTCTTTCATCTTTTAATTTGAGCATACCTGCTAGATTTACATTTTTATGAAGTGTCCTTAAGGAAATACTTACTAGGTAGGTAAATAAACGCTAGAATGGCTTTTACCCCAGTTGCTAAGGTTTTATTCTTGATATTTCTAATGCTCTTCTAAACTCCCTGGTCTCTTTATTACTGTTTTTTTATAGATGATACAGAATATAGTATTCTGTAAGCCATTACTGACTAATACATAGTTTTAACCAACCAGGTATTTAAAAGTAGTCTAGTCATTGTGTTGTGTTTGTTCTGAGATTAATATGCAATTTAGGTAACTTAGATCATATTCTGTAAAATGAATTAGGACTCATTATTAGGTATAGTGTTGTCATTTTCAGCATACTTTTGAAATAATAAAATTGTATCATGTCCATATTCATGTTAAGTTTTAACATTATGTTATTTGATTTAATTATCATAATCTATGTTAGTGCTTTTCATCCTAGAAAGGTGTTTCATTTCACTTTATAGAGTAAGTTTTGAGGACTCCTTGTAGTTATTAATAAAAATTTGAGAGTGCTTTATAGCCACCAACTTAACTAGCAACAATCACTTGATAAAAGTGACAAATATCTTTCATCTTTATGTGTATCTGGAAATATTTCTGTTTCATAACTCTAAGCTATACACACATACATAAAATATGTATAGTAATTTGTTATGTATTTTGTGATATTAATGAATCTAAATTTTGATTTCCCTTGTTTAATAGAAGTTTTTGTGAAGCCCCAGAACATTTGCCTCCAGTTTCCTATTTTCTCTCCCTCAAATACTTAAAGGTTTTAGTAAACCCATTTAGTAACTGTTTGACATCTGGTATTTGCTTTGATTCCTTAGAGGCTTAATGAGCTCAGCCCTCTAAACTCTGTTTACTATTGCCATTGACATTCCAGCTATGAGAACCGCTAGCCAAGTGTTCTCCCTTTGACTAGGAATGAGAAGCTCCCCTTAAGACATGTCAGGTGCAGCTGCCAGTGCGAGCGCTTTTCTCTAGACTCTAGAAAGGCATTGCTATAATTCAGGACTGATCTTCCCCTATCAAGCCTTCCTTATTTCCTCACAAGTTCTGTTTAACTTGGAACTAGGATTATTATTCCTTTCATTGCCAGTACTTTCAAATAGTTAAACACAGGATCTGAGATAGGCTGTGGTTATGGGACGATTGTTAGTATGATTTTTCCTAGACTACTGCAAAAGGTTGGGGTGACAGAGTTTGATATGACAGTAAGACGTGTTCTAAAACAGTTGAAATGTAACCATTGAAGAGCCAATTTTCCTTTTTTTTTTTTTTTTTTTTAATTTGAAAGGCAGAGTTAACAGAGACAGAGAGATTTTCTATCTGCTGATTCACTTCCCAAATGGCCACACCAGCTAGAGCTCAGCCAGGCTGGAACTCCAGTCCAGTCTCCCACATGGGTGCAGGGGCCTAACCACTTGGGCCATCCTCCAGTGCTTTCCCAGCCATAGTAGCAAGGAGCTGGATGGGGAAGTGGAGCAGCCAGAACTTGAACTGTCACTCACATGGGATGCCAACATTGCTTACTGCAGCTTAACCCACTGTGCCACAGTGCCAGCCCCAGCCCGTCTATAAAATTGATCCACTTATTAAGGCATTATAACCTTAAAATACCTAATGTCCAGTTGGGGATGAGAATGGCAAAAAATAATCCAGGTGTACTGTGAAAACATTGCCCCTTGAAATGTTTATGTTAAATGACACTTTAAAAAATTGTTTTTAGATTTATCGGGAAACAAATTTAATTGCTGCTAGAACCACAATCATTATCATATATCATGGTTACAAAATCAGTAGTCTTACACATTTTCAGATGGTTTTTATATGAATAAAGAAAGGAGCTGTGAGAGTGTAAGGTTGGTAGCTTAAGGTGGAGGTGACAAATGAATGGGGAAGGGGCTGGCATTGTGGAGCAGAGTTAAGATGCCGCCTTCAATGCCAGCATCCCACATGTAACCTGGCTTCCCTGCTTCCAATCCAGCTCCCTGCCAATGTACTTGGGAGAGCACCCAAACATGTCCCGAGCACTTGGGCCCTTGCCACTCACGTAAGAGACCCAGATGGAGTTCCACTTTGTAGCTTCAGCCCAGCCCAGCCCCAGCGATTGCAGCCATTTGAGGAGTGAATCAGTGGATGGGAGATCTCTCTCCCTTTCTGTCTCTAACCTACCTTTCTCTCTCTCTCTCTCTCTCTCTCTGCCTCCCAAAAAACAATATGGATGAGGGAAGTGAGATACCCTGGAATGTTGTCAAGGAAAGCCAAATTAGGAGTGACTCTTGACTATCCCCAGCATGGATCTACTAATCTTAGGAAAACCTGTAGGCAGGATGACAAGGCTCAGGACTTTGAAGTGATACAGCCTTCCTGTATTGGAAGGATGGCCTAATCAGAATGACAGTGTGTTGGTTATTCATGCTTTCCACCAACTTCCTGAAAGGCCCAAAACTGGGGTAAAAGCTTCTGATGATCTTTTAAAGCAGCATGCTGATTTCCCAGGACTCTTCATAATTATTCTCAAAGGAATGATACTCCTGGCCCATGTGTTCTTTAGGGTTTCCTCAAGGATAAAGCTAATCCTTGGGGCCAGTGCTGGGGCGTAGTGGGCTAAGCCTCTACCTGCTGCACCTGCATCCCATATGGGGCGCCTGTTCGTGTCCTAGCTGTTCATCTTCCAATGCAGCTCTCTACTTTGACCTGGGAAAGCAGTAGAAGATGGTGCAAGTGTTTGGGCCCCTGCATCCATGTGGGTGACCTGGAAGAAGCTCCTGACTCCTGGCTTCAGATTAGCCCAGCTCTGGCCATTGTAGTCATCTGAGGAGTGAACCAGTGGATGGAAGACCTCCCTCCCTTCCTCCCTCCCCACCTCCCCCTCCCTCCTTCCCTCCCTCCCTCTCTCTCTCTCTCTACCTCTCAAATAAATGAATAAATCTTGGGAAGAAAAAAAAAAGTAAAGCTAATCCACCTGGCAGGACAGCACTCACAATACAACTGAAGACCTCCATATCAAACCTCTCTTGAGGGCCTCCTTGCAGAAGGCATCATCTGGGTTTGATTCCCAGTCCTGGCTCTTGATTCCAGCTTCTTGATAATGCAGGCCCTGAGAGGGAGTAGTGGTAGCTTAAGTAATTAGATTCCTGCCACCTACGTGGGAGACCTGGATCAAGTTCCCAGCTCAGTTCTGGAGGCTGGAAGTCTTGAGATCAGGACACCAGCACAGTCAGGTTCTGCTGAAGACCCTCTTTCCAGATTGCAGACAGCTGAGACAGCTGATTTCTCATTGTACGAGGGGCTGCTTCAGTCAGCCGAAGAGATGCAGACAGGCCGAAGACACACAGCAGCATAGAGGCCATCAACTTTGACATTGCCAACAGAGAAAGAGCTCTCATAGTTAGGAAATTCAACCAGTATCTGGCTTTGTCGGGGTTCCACTTCTGCTTCAGATCCAGTTTTTTCAAGTCATTTAGTTCGGGACCCTGAAAGCAGCTAAGACTGAAAAATCCTGGATCCCATTGTGGCTGTTCTGTCTGTAGGTCTGTTTGCTGGATTTCCCTTCACTGCGCACCCCACATTTAAGTTACTTACCCGTGACACTATTATCAATTTCAACTTCATGCCGGGCCACAGGATTCCTTAAAACATCACAGTCCCAGTCACTTGTCCCAATTCCATGAATTTGCCACACTACAGAGAAAGGAACAGAACAAAGTTCTTGCCAAAGACTTTCAAGGCAGAGACAATGTAGCCAGGAATTCCGTGCAGCACTAAGGGGCCTGCACAGCAGGTATTAGCATGTCTATCCTTGCAACACACCAGAGTTGGCATTTAGAAAGGGTTTGAGGACTGACACCTTCCTTCTCTTCACTCTCCCTCTTCCCTGCAATGTGTGAGCACGAGGAACCATGCAAGGAAGAGACTGAATCCAGGCCGTGCATATGGAAGAGTGGGCTGAATTCCACACAGACCAGATGAATGCATCCATACTCTCCATCCTAAATCAAATCTTTTCAATTACTCTGGAAGGTATTCATGATTTGAGAAAGAAAGGTGTTCACCACATGGATTTCTAAAAATGGAAGGCGTAGTTCTCTCTCAAGTCTGGTTAAACAGTGATGAAACAGATGCTCAGAGTTTTTTTGTTATGTCTTACTTGGGTTTGATTTTTTTCCCAACCATGGAAGGGTTTTTTGTTGTTGTTCTTTTGTTTGTTGGTTTGGTTTGGTGTGGTTTGGTTTTTTGAGATTTATTTATTTATGTGAAAGGCAGTTACAGAGAGACAGAGGCAGAGAGAGCGAGGTCTTCCATCCGCTGATTCACTCCCCAAATGGCCACAACAGCCTGATCGGGGCCAATCTGGAGCTTCTTCCAGATCTCCCACGCAGGTGCAGGGGCCCAAGAACTTGAGCCATTTTGTGCTGCTTTCCCAGGCACATTAGAGAGCTGGATCAAAAGTAGAGCAACCAGGACACAAACTGGCACCCATATGGGATAACAGCATTGCAGGTGGCAGCTTTACCTGCTATGC